TACTCTGGCAGACTCTTATTATCGTCGAAAATTCGCATTTTGGAACAATGAACAGTGACATTTACGCTCTCAGCTATTCACTAAGGATTCTACGGGATTCACTTCTGGTATTCAGCGATACGTGTATAAGCTTTTTTCCGAGACAGATACTGACAACTCTAATGCGAAACCACCCGAAACGAATACTCAGCCAATGAGTATTTACTATTATAGATATATACATATATAGTCCTCCTATATCCTATATAATACAAAAGCGCTATCGATCTTTTTATGTTTTTCAAACATTCTGCCACATGACTCTCTGCCCTCAATGATAAAACATTTTACAGTCCAATAAATACGCTGATTGAAATATCCTGTCGCTATGTCAATTGTCCCTCATCTTGTCAGCATTCATTTTTTATTCCATTTCTAAAGTTATGAAATACCTAAATCCCACAAGAGCACTCCAAGTCTTTCGTACATGATAAAATTCATTCATTTCCTCTCATTTCTTATTTATTCAAATAATTAACATAAAAATAAAAAAAGTATTCAATAGATTCTTGATTCTGTAAAAACTAGTATCTTAATATTAACAAAAAAAAAATTTTTTTGTTAATATTTAGAGTAGTTTTGCCTTACCAGCGGTTCAGTACATTCGAACATAAAAATGTGCGAATGTACGGATTCGATTTTTCTCCTTTGAATTGCTAGAAAATTTTTTTTTTTTAGGGATTTTTGATGGTTTGTGGAAAACTTAAGGTAATAAAGGATCCAAATATTGAACATGTAGCATAATTTAATTTAAAAAATCTTATAATTTAGTTTTATATTCAGTATTTATGAATTTGTAATTGTAAGGCAAATGACCCAGGTATACCTGGTATCCTGTAAGGATTGAAATTTTTCTTTTATAATATACAATTATTATAAATTCATTTTTTTGTTTTTTAAGTCAATAATTTTAAACTATTTCAGAAAAATTATAAAGAAAAAATTATTTGTAGGCGCTTTGACTCGAAGATATAACTAGAAAAATAACAGGAACTATTTTCACGGAATTATAAAATATTAAATCTAACATTGAAATTTATTTATGGCTACAGTATTTAAAATTTTAATAATTTATCGTATTGTTGTCGTTTCTTTTCATTTTCCTACAGGCTCCTATACTAATCTTGGTAATCACTGTAAGCCTATTCCAGGAAACCGGACAGAATCTTTAATGACTATTATATCTCATACAGAATGACTTTCATTATTTGAATGATGAATTATTACAAAAGAACAATAAGTAAATTTTAAAGATGGCGCCACCATTATTTTTGCTATGCTATATTAGCATTGGGTATTTCCCAGAATTAGAATTAATATTACTGAGTATACAAGTATTGCACTTACACTCACAATTATTTTTACTGTAAGAATAATACTTGCGGAATCAAACTTTGTATTCTGTAAGAAATGAAACTTTTCTTTTGCAGTGTAAAATTTTTATTTATTTACCCAGCTATAATCTAATTTTTCCGTTTTTTCGTTGAGCCAATAATTGCACGCCTCATAAGCAAAGCGAATGAGGTTGTGCTCTGCACTTGCCTTACAAAAATCCCGTGTTTTCTTAAACTAAAATTCTCTCTTTATTTTAAACTATTCCAAAAGAATTTTCAACAAAAAAATTATTTGTAGGCGCTTCTAACTAGAAAAATTACAGGAACTACTTTCAGGGGATTATAAAATATTTTTGAAAAGATTCTTCCTTTTTCATGGTCAAATTGTAAACTTATTGTCATTTAATCTATAATCTATTACCCTAGCAATTGAATAGTGTCTAATTGCTAAATCTTAAATGTAATGGATAATGCCTTTATATTCGCTATGACTACCTGGGTTTAAAAGATTCAATTATCGTGTACGGACAGTAGTTGTATGCAAAAAAAAAGGTATATTTTCACTAATTTTCAACTATAGCAAAATTTTGCTATACTTAATGAGGTTTTTGACACTGCTTAAATACTTTTAAAAATCAGTCTAAGGACATACTACGACCTGTTCAGACCTATAACAGTTAAAGTTATTTCAAACGTCTACGTGTTCAAAATTTTACTTATAATTCTATCGTTCATATCGTATTTTTGATATTGATCGATAATTCTGCGGAAGATCCACATTCTTGAAGCTGAATATAATTTTCAATCTTCTCCAAATTATTTTAAAGTGATTTGTTTGAGTGCAATTTTGTTAAATTATTTATTTGACCAAAAAAAATCAAAATGTCCGGAAAATTGAGGATGATGCTTGCTTTGGAAGTGATGAGGCTGCCTGACGATAAAGTTATTAGAGTAGCCAAACTCACTGGGAAATTGCAACCCGATGCAATAGTTGATGGCGAGATCGACTTTTGGGCGTTTTCATCTATTACTATCAAAAGAGTTCACGTTTTCATCCAAATGTTGATTAAAAACAACCAAAAGGATGTTCTCAATGATGAACAGTTGAAGAAGAAAGTTCTGGGAGATGAAGGCATGCTTAATGCCGTCAAACAATACCTACCCAACTATTATATTTTCAAAAATGAGAGTAATAGTGATGACAGTGAAAGTGATAGCAGTAGTAGCGACAGTGATAGTGATAGCAGTAGCGATGAGGAAGTAGTTGAAAGTACTTCCCATCGTATTACTGAAGAAAATTTTAAAAAATTATTGGACAGCAGCTACTACTGCAATGTCTTGACTGATGACATCAATAAATCAGTTAAGATTATTATCAAGCGAGATGTTAAAGTACATCTCGATTTGAGCGAATCCGACACTGATGATGAAGATGAACCTGAACCTGAAGAATTAATCACTTTGGATCCAAGGTGCATCAAGGTGACAGTAGACTTGATACGTTTGGATTCTGCTTTGACATCGGCGAAGAAAAAACCAGCGATGCCTATCCAAACTAGCAGCTCACCTAGCAGCCAAGCTAGCAGCTCACCTAGCAGCCAAGCTAGCAGTGGATATAGCAGCCGAGCTAGCAGTAAATCCAACAGCCAAGCTAGCAGTAGATCCAGCGGCCAAGCTAGCAGTAGATCTAGCGACCAAGTCAAGAGGAAGAAATCCATAGGAGTCCAAGAAAGGATTTTGAAACGTTTCCGGCAATTTAAGCGTAGGAAATAATTATTAATTGTACTCATCGATATTTTTGTAATGATTTTTAAAATTTTTTAACATTTTTTGTAATCAACCAAATTTATCTTTTTAATTTAAACTTTTGTAAATTTTTAATTTTTTTTTTATTTTTCATGAATTATGTAATAGTTAATTGAATTATGTTTAGTTTTTATATTTTTTGATAGTTTGACAATAATTTCTAAGAACAATTGTTACTAAAATAGATATAAGAAATTTTTTTTTAATAACTTCTGTACTGTTTTTGTCGTCATTAATCGAATTTAATTTTTTAAGTAAAACTTATGTAAATTTTTACTTTTTTATGTTTATGCAATAGTCAATTAAATTATGTTTAGTTATTATATTTTTTGACAGTCATAATAATTTGTAAAAATAATTGTTATAAAAATAGATGTAAGAAATTGTTGTTTGTTACTAAATATTGTAAATATTAAACTTAAGTTTTTATTTTTATAAAAATCAAAAAATTTTTTTTCACAAAACTACATTAAGATTGAATAAATAATTTTTTAATAATTCTAATTAATTGTTTTTTTTTTTTTATTATAATTATCATTTTTAATTGTTTATCATTTTCAGCAAATTTTTATTACTTATTCCCCAAAAATAAATTTAAGTTTATTCTTTTATAATTTTTAATGGTTTAAAAAAATATATAAATAATTCAATTTTCCATAACTCAGAAATTATTTAAGTTTTTTGGATTGTCGAGTAAACATTCTTAAAGTGTACGTAAAATATAATAATAATAATAATAATTGAAATTAAAAAAAAATAATAGTAATAAAAATTAAAATTAAGAAAAATATAATAATAATTTTTAATTTCATAAATTGAAATACTACAAAAATTTTTTTTAATTTTTGAATCATAATATAATAAATAAAATAACATAATACTCTTTGTAAGGCGCGCAGTAGCCTATCGGATCCGGCCCTTGCTTACCAAAGCATTGGACCGGGTTCGAGTCCGGCGTACACCAATGAATATTTTCAATATTTAAGTGTATTATTCTGCTCAGCCCAAGAAATACAAACGAGTTCCAATCTCAAAAGTTTACCCCCTACCGTAGTCGCTCATGACCTTAGTAGTTTATGCGACTTTAAACAAATTAAAAAAAAAAAAAAAAATATAATAATAATTTAAAATATTACTATTATTTATTTATTTAAAACAAAATTATTTATTTAAAGTTATTTAATTAATTAATTTAATTTATTTAAATTAAATTTAATTAATTATTTTAATTTAATTATTTAAACATTAAAATTATTTAAATTTAATACAAAATTATTTTGTTTTAAATAAATAAATAAACAAAATAAATATTGCAAGTAAGAAATAACCAGACTATTCCAAAGCGTATTAATGAAAATAGCAACACAGATGGAGATGGAGTTAAAGAAGAGAGGAAATATTCGATGTTCAATATATGCAGTTGAATTTTGACTTAAAGTCACAAGGGCGTATGTCGAAAAAAAAATTTTTTTGCACTTTTCTAGTTTTGCAAAGCTAAAACGGCGTATATTTTGAGATACTCCCTTTTAACACAATATTTTACCAACAAAAGTATTATAATTCGTAATATAAAACTATAAAAAAGAAAATAACACTAATTTCAGCTCATAAATTTTTCCAATAAATTTATAAATAATTTATTTATATTAATTTTATCTAAAACGTTCAATATTTGGAGCCTTTTTTCTAAAAAAAATTTTTTTTTTATTTAAAAAAAATTATTCAACACCTTAAATTGAAATTGAAATAAATTTATATATTTATAATTATATTACAAACTAATTGCACTTGTTAATTGGTTAGTGTAAAAAAAAAAGTACTTTAGTCTTGCAGAGAAATGGTAGACATGCTCGAATTGAAACTAGTGTTGAGGACTCCATCATTTCCGCGGAATAAATGTTCAAAATGTTGTACGTAAGACTGACAATGCTCCCCGCGGGTGAATGCTGTTGTATTATGTAACCTGACGTTGCGTTGTTCGAAAAATTTATAGACAGAATGGAAAATAGTCGGATCGTTGAGCGCTTTAGCGGCCTCGAGAAATTTTCTGGCTGATACCTGGTCGGCCATTCCTACTGAACGTACGTACCTACGTAATTTTTTTACAAGTTATGACTATGATTTTAATTACTGAGCAATATTACATATTGTATAATATTGATAAATTACAAAGCCGGTTGATTGAGAGTAAATACCTCAAGGCAGGAAGTATATGGCCCTTGGATAACAGAACTTCAATTATTTCCTCATGCGCGCTCCCTAAACGTTTTAGCATGTCCAGTGCTAATTGATGAGCCGCTGGGTATAAATTTTCCAAGGATAAAAGCAAACAAGCCAATGGTTTTGAGTCAGCTACAACGTGGTACTGGAGCAACTGATGCAACTGATAGTACGCTTTGCGTTGAACTAAAGTCGTTATTACTAACTCGTATATAAAATGTTGGACTGGTATTCCATGTTCTACTAATGACCTTTTTTTGTATAAACAAAAAGTACATTTTTTTTTTATTTATTAAACCTATTTTCTTTTTTTTTTTTTTTAGTAAATAAAAATTCTAAAAATTCAACCGAAAATTTTTGACTAATTTAATTAATAAAAATATATAAAATAAATTTGAAAAAAATCTTAAAAATGACTTGAATTTTTTTTTAATTAGTTCTAAACAATAATAAATTATTTCCTACTATTAATATCGTTTTTTTTTTTAGTAACTAAAATTTTTAAAACTTAACCGATAATTATTGGCCAATTTAATTAGTAAAAATTTAATAAATCTCCTAATTTTAATTGTAAAGAAAATTTTTCTGATAAAAAACTATGAATTAATTTAATTAATAAAAATATATAAAATAAACTTGAAAAAAATCTTAAAAATTACTTGAATTTTTTTTAAGTTAGTTTTAAAAAAAAAATAAATAATTTCCTACTTATAATGTTGTTTTTTTTAGTGAATAAAAATTTTTTAAATTTAACCGAAAATTATTCACCAATTTAATTAATTAAAATATATAAAAAAAATCTTAAAATAATTTTTAAAAATTACTTTATTTTTTTTTAATCTAGTTCTAAAAAAATTAATAATGTCCTAACTTATAATATTTTTTTTTTGTAATTTTTAAAAACTTTAAGAAAATTTTTATTTCTAATGTTTGTAATTTAAAAAAAATAATAAATAAATAAAACTCACCGAATATACTCCAGTAACACCCAAACAACCATTTTTGGTTCAATTAAATCAGCCGAAAATTTTGACAATATATGTGTATACATATCACTTTGATCCAGCAATAATTTATACGAAAGGTCATCGAATGTTTCTGTATTTTTAGATACATTTTGCGGAGGTGTACCCATCTGAAATAAAATTAATTATTGATAATTATAATTATGATTAATACTGAATATTTGATTACAAATTGATAAATAAAAAAAAAATACCTGGCTTTGAATTTCATTTTCCAAGTGACCCCGATAAACAGAATCAATTTTATCAAAGATAGCTGGTATGTCTATCAGCGTCATAGGCAAATCATTAACATAATTCTGCAGTACTTGTAACAAAATGGGTTTTGCGTCTTTCCGCTGAATAATGAATTCAACCAACTGAACCTTATCATTGATAAGCTTGACCAACGCTTCTAGCTGCAATTCGATGTACCTGTGTTGAGTTAAGCAATTTTTAATTCAATTACAATTACAATTATCAATCTGTTAAACTACAAAGCAGTTTGATTTCCAGTTTGTAAATCAACTAATTGTTTATCGCGATATTTACCACAAGCATCCCAGTTTTATGTCAATAATAATATTAGGCTGAAAGACGACCCAGTTTTCCGAATCTAGTTATCGTCAGGAAAATATAATTTTGTTAGCGCTTGCAGAATCGGTACCGTGCTATGTGCTTGGTAATTTTATTATAATATTAAATAGCAATAATTATAATAATTATTATTTGAAAGGATACAGAGCGGGCAAGGCTGGATAACTTGTTCGGATAGAGTTGCGCCTTGTACTTTAAGATTGTAGGGTTTTATTGGTTTTGGTATTGCTACACTTGTATGATGCATTACTGTGCCATCACTTACTCCTCCTAACATTATGTCAAATATCATTGATGTCTATAAATTAATAAACAATTATTTTGAAATTAAATTGATTGCTAATGAAATTAATAAAAAATAAATTGAATAATATAAAAAAACCTTTGATGCTTGGTGATGAACAATAATAAGATTATCAACAACATTAATAGCAAATCTTCCTCGTAAATCTAATTTTAATATATGACTTTTTTTTATAGTTAACATTCTGAAAAAAATTTTTTAGATTTATATTAATATTTAATATAATTAATAATTAACCAGCAACTTTGCAGTCACTATGTGACTGCCGTCACTTGTGAACTATTAATAAATGAAATTTTGCTTTATTAAATAATGACTTGTGTTAAACTGCACTGTATTTTTTAAAAAATTGATATTTTTAAAGATATAAGCTCATCCCGATGTTATATTCATATATATATATATATATGAAAAATTGATGTGGGTACTCCAATTAAAGGTCTTGATAAGTGTAATGTCGGGATGAGCTTATATCTTTAAAAGTGTCAATAGTTGACAAGATACAATGTCATTTCTTAATTATTGACATTTTTAAAAATATAAGCTCATCCTGATGTTACACTCATCAAGAGCTTTCATTTGAGTACCCACATGCATTTTTGATATATTTTTCATACATACATATACATAATATATATATATAAATATATGAAAAAATTGATGTGGGTACTCAAATGAAAGGTCTCGATGAGTGTAACATCGGGGTGAGCTTATATCTTTAAAAATGTCAATAGTTCACAAGATACAAGGCCATTTCTTAATTACGTATCTAAAAATAGAGCAATTTTCAATTACGGTAAAAATATTAGTTGTATAAACAAAAATCATAAGAGACATTTTTTTATACGACTAATAATTTCGCCTGGGATTTAAGATTCAAATCATTCATTTTAAATCTTTGGCAAAAATTATAATTAAAAAAAAACTTACTTATGAACAGTATAAACACAAACATAAGCACTGATGGATTTATTAGCTTCGTACTGGTGTCTTAAAACAATAATGCACGGTGTACCGTACAGTACTGCTAAAACTACATCTCTATCTGAAACTGCTAATTTTCCCGGCTTTGCTGGAATTGCTTCCACTGAAATAAAAAATAATTATAAATTATAACTAATTAAAAATGTAAAAAAACAAATTAAAAATTAATAGTTACTTTCAAATTTAGTTATCTTATGCAAATTTCCAGGCGTTATATGCAGTGCCTGCATTTGGTTTCCAATAGTACCGGAAGATAATAAAATCATGTTGCTTCTAGGGCAGTAAACGTACCAATTAACGCCTAAGCTCAGTGATTTAAGCGCTTTGACACTTCTTTTAGCCGGATTTACCTGCGGATTTTTTTTTTATTAATTTTTTATTAAAGAAATTTAATGGAAGTGAATATTTGATACTCACAGAGAATAATTCAACACCATGGTCAGTTATCAGCAAAATTTCATTGCCGTGGGTCCAAACGAACCCTTGGATAGTAGCATTTTTACTTTTACAAGCTTGTGAATACTCTACGACATCCAACCCGGTGCCCGGGTTATAATTAACGAACTCTACAGATGTGTATGTTCTCTGTATCGCTAAAACATTCATGTCCGCTGAGAATTTTATGGATATTACTTGGCCCTTATCTTCCATTTTAAATGTAAATACATCGCTTGGTCCTGTTACTGTTGTTACTCCTCCAGATCTTACTGCGAAGACCTGAATAATTATTTATTATTTATTATTACTTTAACTCAAAAATATTGAGTTTGAATAATTTTACAATATTTTTTCTGATAAAATTAGTGTTTAAGATTTTTTTTAAATACTAATTTTTGGAGTAAAAAAAATTTTCTAACAAAATAAAAAATTGGCTGTAAAAGTAATTAAAAATTTTATTTATAAATAATTTTCAAAATAATAATGTTAAATTTTTGATTTTTTTTTTAACTTGAAATTTAAATTTAAACAATTAAAAAAAATTAATAATTTTGTTAAAGCGTGTATTTTTATTATAAAATAACAAATAATTGTAAAATTAAAATTAGCCGACAGCTGACAACGTTTAAAAATTTTTTTAATAAGTAAATTACTATAAAAAAAAAATTACATCTAGTTTTTTGGAAGTTTCTCAATTGAAATTTTTTCAAATTTAATTTACCAATATTTATTTTTAAAAAAATCTTAAAAATTTTCAGCTGTCTATTGATTTTGATAATATAAAAAATTTCACCTTGATAATTTTAAATAATTATAATAAATTTTACAAACTCTAAATTTTTGATTTTTTTGATCAATAAAAATTATGAGTAAAAAGGTATTTTTTAAAAATTGCTTAAAATTTTTTTAATTTTCTCCATGTCAAATTTTTTCTTTTAATTTTCATGTAAAATATTTAATAGTTAAAAATTAAAAATACCTTCAATTAAAAATAAAAACAAAATTGTTTTTCATTCTTAAATATAAATTTTCACTCCAAAAATCATGACATTAAAGTTAGCAGTCTCTCGATCATTTTTTTAATAAATAAATTAGCTCCAAAAAATTGCATTTTTTATTCTCTAAATGTCAATTTTTTTTTCTCATTTTCTTTGACATAATTTTTTTAACAAATAAAGAAAATGAGAAAAAAAATTGACATTTAAAAAATTAAAAAAATTAAAAATCCAATTTTTTAAAAATAATTTTTCGGAGCAAATTTTTTTTTTAAGAAAATTAAAAAATAGACTACTAGTTTTAATGTCATAAAATATCTGCTAAATTAGTTTTCATCCATAAATTTAAGACTTAAAAAAATACCAAATTTAAATATTCCTCACAAAAAAAAAAAAAAAATTAAATACCTGATGTTTGAAGTCATCAAAAAAAACATTATTGACACAAGTAAGAGATTCAAATCTCACTGGATTGACAGATAACTCCAAATAATAATTGTCATTGCCCGCCTCATCATCCTTAGTCTCAGCCGTCGCCATTTTTCAGCGCTTAAAACTAAAACTAAATAAAAAAATCTCAAAATTAAATTATTTACACCGTAAATTGGTTACGGTATTATTTACACTTAAATCTGACAAAATAACTCTTACTTGCAGGATAAACACACACAAAAACTAACAGCTGACCTATCTCAAGCACTAGTAAACTCCAACTGCGCAGTCACGCCACTATTCAAAAGATGGCGGCACTTACCGGTCCGCGCGCTTAGTTGGAAAATTTAGAATACAAAAATGAATAAAATAATATTGTCAGATGGTGTAAAAGCTGGTAGTATCTTACCGACTGTCAGAGGGAATATGTGATTCTCGGGTTGACGTTGGTGTTGATTGTTGGTTGGTGTAGATTGAACGGACGACAGAGTATGTAAACTAAAATACAAGAAAACACAGAAAGAGGTCCTTGGTAATCATCGGTCTGAGTCTGAGGTATCATTAAAGAAAATGGCGGATTAGTTGGTGCTCTAGCAAAAGGGCTGGGACACAGTATTCAGTACCGTGATGATAACGTTACAAGTTAACAATCATTTTATTATTTAAAATTTTATTTATAATTATCAAGTTATATTTATTAATTACTTGATTTTATTTTTTTGCTATTAAGTATTTATTTATAATTTTTATTATTTATTGTGTCGAAGGTTTATTGTCAATCATAACAATAACAGCGCGTGGTGTCTCGTGAGTGAATTTTGTTGGATTTAAGTGCTAAATTATTTTATCAGCGTATACGTATAAATATATATATACATACAGATACTACATATTATATATTGTGGATATAGATGCGAATTTACTTGTGAAAAAGTGACAACTAGAATCAAGGTATTTTTTAAATTATTTTTTTTTAAATTAATGAAAGTTTTTTTTACAAGTTAAAAAATTTTATTAAGATTTATTATTTAGAAAATTTTTAAGAGGGTGCTTTTGTTAACCAGGATCATTGATTAGAGTTTCGTGTTAGACACTTGTGGCCATCTATGGATTCCACTGCTCTTATTTTATTTTATTAATTTTTATTTATTTATAACGGGATTATTTATGGCCAAGATTAATTTATTATTAATATCGTTTTATTGTTCGCTGGGAATTATTTATTTTTTTTTTTTTTGAGTTTGATAATGGAGTGCTATTTATAATTTTGGAGTAACGGGACTCGGGCCCTTTAAATAAACGGGATTTAATATAATGAGAAATAATTTTTTTTTTCTTGGAATTTATCACGGGTTTTAATTATTTTATTATGAAAATTAATTTAGATATTTTATAATTTTAAGAATTGTAATATATAAATTATGTCAAAGAAAATGAGAAAAAAAATATTGACATTTAGAAAATTAAAATAATAATAATAATAAAGTTAGCTGACATTTTTGATTTTTTTATCTTAATTTATTAAATTATAAATAAAAAATATTTTTAAAAAATTGCACTTATAGTTTTTAACAAATGAAAAATTTTTTTTCAATTTTGTTGTAATAATTCTTTGATATAAAAAATTATAAAAATTTTTAGACGGCTAACTTTATTTTCATAAAATAATATTAAATTTAGCTGTCATGTGACAATTTTTTAATTTTTTTTTAACAAATAAATTTGTTCCAAAAAATTATTCTAAAAAAATTGCATTTTTAGTTTTTTAAAATTTCTAAATGTCAATTTTTTTTTTTTACAATTTACACTTTTTATACAATTTGTTAAAAAAAAATTCTTTAAATTATTAACTATATTTGCTAAACTAATTTTCATGAAATTAAAAATCCAATTTTTTAGAAATAATTTTTTGGAGCAAATTATATTTATTAAAAAAAATTTCAAAAGATTGTTAAAAAAAAATTGCATTTTTTATTTTTTAAAATTTCATGTCGATTTTTTTTTATTATGTTTTTTGCAATAATTTATTTGTTAAAACAATTAAATAAAAAATTTCACATGTAAAAAACTTGAAAAACTACAAGTGCAACTTTTTATAAATATCTTCTTAGTTGTAATTTAATTAAAAAAAAAATCAAAAATTTTTAGACGTCTGCTAACTTTATTGTCATTATTTTATGTTTTTTTTTTTTTTTATGCTTATTGTTCAATTTTTTTTATTAAATTTCACTTATTTCAAATAAGGATAATTGAGTTTCTAAATACATATTTGGGTGTTGTGAGATTTTCATAAATTATTACTTTTTTTTTAGAAGTACATTAACATATTTATACTCAATCTCGTTAAAACTTTAGCGATGAAAATTAAATGAGTTTTTAAAAAGTTTTAATGGTATTTGGGTTAAAAAAATATTTATAGTGGTTTTAAATTAATTGAGGGAGAAATTGATTCATTAAAATATTAATTTAATTTATAAGTAATTAAAGTCAATACTGGAAAGTTACATGAATAAAATTTTACAAGTTGTAAAAATTTAATAGAATTTTTATCAATTAAATATTTAAATTCGCCCTTTTTATAAAAAACTTTTCAAGCTGTTAGATATTAATTAAATTATTGGGAAAAAATGTCAAATATCACTTTGTAAATTATTAATTTTATTAAAAGAAGAATGGAATTTCCATCCAAAGGTTTTTAGTGGAGTAACTAATATTGATTGCATGTTTTGTTAAAATTGAAATAATTCGTGCATTGAGAGGATTAATTTTAATTTAAAGAGTACTTGACGTTCTTCTGTTTTGTTAAATTGAATTGATAAGTATTATTTATAATAAAATAATTATTTGCACTTTTAGAGTCAAAAGGTGTGCAGGTAAAAAATTGAAGTAGTTTATTTGACGTTTATTTTAAAGAGCGTTTAATGAAAAAGTTAATTTATTAATACGGATTTTGTATTATCAATTATATAAATACTGTATTGTATTAAAAGTTTGTTCATTTATTATTTTAGAGGATTATATTTTTCAATGAAGATTAAACTGGCATTTAAAAGTCCCTTTAAATTATATTTAAATTGGAGATTAATTGTTGGAAATACTTGCAAATATTAAGAAGAATTTTTAAATTAATTTTTACGAATTCAATTAATTTTCGCGAAATTAATTAATTTTATTTTTCAAAAAGGTTTTTGACTTGAGATTTCAAAATTTGGCTTGACAGATAATTTATAATTAATAATTGAAACAATTACTGAGTTATTTAATGCCAGTGTTATCATAATGATATTAATTTAATTACCTGTTGAAAATTAATGAAACCGTTAATTAAATCAGAGCTGTTTCATTTTAAATGAGGATTGGAAGGATTATATTCCTTAATTTAGCTTTGAATAACGGGAGTTTGAACGGCCCTTTATATGGTATTTAATTACTACTGAATGCGATACTTTAAATAAATTGATTAATCAATTAAAAAACCAGCGATTTTAAATATTTAAGGAATTTTATTTATCGGAATTTTGTGGTATTGAATAAAACTTTAATACTAAAGTTTTGGGTATTCAGTAAATAGACTGATAATCAGTTAATTGATTAATTACCGTTAAATATATAATCTATGTACTTAATTTAATAGTTTTGGAAGTCAATGATAATTAATTACTGCTATTAAATATGAATCATAATAGTATTACTCAATTTTAATTTTTTAGAGTGATTGATAGCTATTTAAAGTTGAAAAATTTATGAGAAGCGCTTTTGATTTTATAAATGATATTTGTGGAAAAAAAAATTTTTTTCAGCTGAAATTTTCACAGAAAATAATTATTTATAAAGTTTTACTTTGATTGCTGATTTCAGATTAGCAAGAATTTGTTCTTTTATAAATTAGATGACGTTTAACAAATTTGGCAATGGCAATCAGGTAATGGTGATAATTAAAAAACGTTAAAAAATAATCCGGTGTAATTAAATTTCACCAAAGATGTGAAGGGCAAGGGGAGTAAACGGAATGAAGCCACAAAAGAAGGCTATCGTATCGCAAAAGGCGCCAAAGTCACCAACGGTTGCCAAAAAGCGTAAAGTTCTTGACTCAAAAGCGGATAAAAAATCTAAAAAATTACCACTCTCTACTTCAACATCGTCTTCTTCCTTAGAGAAAACTAAAAAAAGCGACAGTGACAAAAAAAAAGACAAAGATAAAGAAAAGATTGCCGAAAAACGGAAAAAATCTGATATAAAATTGATAGATGAAAAAAAGAAGTCAAATTTAAAAGAAATGGAGGCCAAGAAAACTGAAATTGAGGATAAAAAAATGGACAAAGCCGATGAGTCTTCATTGGATTTGAGCTCGACTGGATCATCCACTACTGGGATTGACAAAAAGAAAAGTAATAAATCCGATGATAAAATTAAACCGGACAAACTTGTTGATGCTAAGAAAAAATCAAGCGAACTTGACAAAAAGAAAATTTTAAACAAAGATTCCATGGATGGTACCGATAATGATTCGAGTTTGATTTCATCCCCAGCTTTAGCTGCTGACGAAACTAAAAATCTCGAGGGCAAAAGTACTGCGCTAAATTTAACAAATAAAAAGACTAACAAAGCGAAAGATGACAAAATCAAGAAGGATTCCAAGGGAAATATTAATAATAATAAGGACCCTAAAGAAAATGGTAAAAATCAATTAACCAAAGATAAGAAAGTTGATCCGAAAAAATTGGACAGTGTTAAAAAATCAAAAGTCGTTCCGGTTAAAAAAGAATCAAATTCAAAGTGTGTTAGCGCAAAAAAATTAGCGGCTAAAAAGAGTCTGCTGGCTAAGAAATCCGGCGAAATAGTGGGCAAGAAATTGACCGATAAAAAATTAAAACTAGTCAATAAGTCTAAAGATAAAGAGGATGTTTCGAGTGTTGATGAGGATGAGGAGTTATCAGTAAATACCAAGGCAAAGAAAAAGTATTCAACTAATGCTAAGTCTAAAGCTAGTAGTGGTAATACTAATAATCAAGATAGTAGTAGTAGCAGTAGTAGTAGCAGTAGCAGTAGCAGTAGTAGTAGTAATAGTAATAGTAACATGAAAAAACCAAAATTAGCGAAGCAGATGAAAGCAAAGTTGCCGGTTAAAAACGGTAAATTGAATAACGTTGTTCTAAAGAGAGAAAAACTTAAGAAGATAACTGATAAAATAGTTAACAGAAGAAAAATGGAGTTAAAAGAGAACGCGTATAAAGTTAGCATGGTCTGTGACAGTAAAAAAGTATTGAAAGAAGAGCCTTTTAATAGCGATGAGGATCAAAAGAGCATCAAAAAGGAAATTTTAAACGATAAAGAGGATGACGAAGAAAGTTTTCCCAGTGGTGGGAACAGCAATAGTGGAAGTTGCAGTAATGCTAGTATTAGTTGTCTTCAAGTGAAATCTTCTGAGGGAAAAAAGTCCTTGAAAACTCCATCAAAGTCGAAAACGAGCTGTAAAAAGCCGGTTAACAAAAAATCTGTTAAATCAAACAAATTGCCGGACGAGGATTGTGAAAAAACATCGCAGAAGAGTTGTTCCTCAGGTTCCGCTTCTGAAGATTCTTCAGAACAAACTGCTAAGAGTCAGGATGTCAAAGCATCTAATTCTAAAAAAGGGGATGACAGTGTGTTGAAAGTTGATCTTAAGCTCGAAAAATCTAATGACAATGATAATAATAATGACAGCCATGACAATGACTTCAACAGTGACAGCCAGGGGTCGTCTAGTGCAGACTCTGATGAGGATTACGAAAACGAGGTGGAAACACGTCGTCGGCAAAAGAAGAAAAAAGAAGAAGACTCTACAGACGAAGACCGGGTGCGTAGAATGCGATTATTTGGGTTCTGGAGTGGCCCGAAACGGCACCGCGTTGCGTCATTAAACGCATTAGCCAAAGTCCACTGTCTTTATGAGAACGAAAACGGTGGCGTTTATCTGGGTGGTTTCTGTAAACCAAAACCTGAGAAAGATAAACCAGAAAAAGGAAAAAAATCGTCATCTGGAAGTGCAACTGCTACTGCAGCTTCTGCTAAAGAGAAAGACGACAAAGAGGAATCTGGACGTAAAGAAAAGGACAGTAATAGCAGTAGCAGCAATAACAATAGCAATAGCAATACCAGTAAAAAAGGTACGGTGACCAGTAAACCCGAGCCGGAGAATGTCGCTAAGAGAAATCTAAGGAATGTACCGGGTCTTCGCGGGAAACATTGGGACATGATGGAGTGTTCCTCTTCATCCTCCTCATCTTCCGAGGACGAGTCAGGCAATGAACAGTCCTCGCAATCCCAGTCCCAATCCCAATTGCAGTCTCAGGCCCAATCTCAGCGCAATCCAGAAGTAAAACATGCTAAACGTGGCAGAAAGAAAAACTCAACTGTGAGGCGTAAAAAACCTGAGGAAGTTATGGATCTCAAGGATATGGTGGTTTGCAAACGGATGGCTAGTTTGAATGCATCGGCCATTCTTGCGGCTTCATATATGGACGAAAAAAATCTGCAGAGTTCATCGTCAACTGAGTCTTCCTCCAGTGAGTCTTCAGAAGTTGAGTTTATAAAGCGTCGCAAGCAACACGGTGACTCAGGAGAAATTGCTGCTGAAAAACGAAAAGCTAAGCAAGAAGAGGAAGCGTTAAAGGCATCCAAAAAAGTTGTGATTGTCAATCAGGATACCGATGTCACAATCACCGGTGAGTTTAATCTTCAATTAAATTAATTGCCGCATTAGTACGCTTGTGGATTAGCTAATTGTATTTATTTATATGTACGTGCGTATTAGCACGCATGTGTAAGGATGTGTGAGTGTATGAGGGGGGTGGGTTGTACGCAAGATTTGCGTAGCAATTTGGACATACATGTAGTGTCTCTCTTGGATCTCATAACCCAAAGCAAATTCTCACTATCATCCATGTGCAGGTGTCTATGTTAATCAAACCCGATCAACCCACCACGAGGGTTTCTGTAGCATCGCTGGAATGCAATATAGAATCAGCTCAACCAGCCACACGCAAACTGCGGCAACCGCTGTGGCTGCTGAACTTCACGAGCAGGTACGCCTTTCGGATGTTTCAACGGTGATAAAGGATTCCAAATGAAATTGTGTCACTATATTATACCCTCAAATTTCCTACAAAATACCTTATGACCTGTCTATCCATCTCTTGTCCCATATTGTCTATTTTATCCATAAAACGGTTGTGTTGGGGCAAAATGTGTCTACAAATGATTTCTACGGATAGATATCGCTATTTTTTTGAGACAATAAAAAGTTTTTAAAGGGTTAAAAAATTGTTCTTAATATGTATGTAAAAATCAGTAATTTATAAAGACATATTTTTTCCTGACACGTAACACATACGACCCAGATATTATATAACCCATAATAATCCTATTATAACAGTTATCTTAATCAAAATTCTCCAGAAGGCGGAACAACCATGCAAGTCTTATACACCCCTGGGGGCCTTATCCTCGATGCAGCCACCAGGAAGTCAGGCCGCTCATCCGAACATGTCACCCCGAAGACACTCAGCATTCAGCGCGCCTCATCAGCACGGTGAGTCCTTAATCTTCATCTATTTCCATTCATTAACTATCTACTATTCGAATTGTCTACCGTCTACCGTTTCAACCAGTGATTTCAAATTAATCACTCAACGATAAAACTTCAACTTTCGCATAACAATGCGACTTAATTCCCTTTTAAGACTCGTCAACTTTATAAGATCCTTATATTACCCTCACCGTTTTCATTAAACTCCCTAATCTCTTCGAAAATTATAAATTCAAATTCCCAATAGAATATCCATAAAAAATCTAAACACAAAAAAAAGGTACTACATCCCCAAAAATAGTTAAATTTCCCATGAATTGACCAGCACATCAGTTACCATACCCAGCCCACCTGTCAATAGTTTTCTCGTTTCTCTTAATTCTTTTTCGCTTACTATACTCACAGCAGAAAAGAACCCCAGAACAAAAAAAAAAACACCAGACAGCCAGGACTCGATTCAAACGAAAATGGTCTAGTCTTTGGTAGTAGTATATGGTAGCAGAGTCCAACCCCCATTTATTTCGCGCCCTGAAAATTCCTTCTCAGATATATTTCATCAACACCAACAAAAACGTACGTCCCTGCGTGATATGCGCGCGCAATTTTCTCTCTTTATCCAACATAAGGGAATTTTTACTCTATCAGAGTATTTCGAGCTCTCTTGCACCCTTATATTACACACTCAGTCACTAACATCTAAAGCTATACATACAACCCATACTATTTCTGGTCCCCTGGTATTTGTAATTGTATATCGAGACGCCGCTCAACGTAACGTGTCTGACGTAGTTGTCATGTTCGCACACAACTTCTCGACTTGGTATATGAGAGAGTATCAACACATTGTAATCATTTATACCTATACTTATACTAGCATTTCATCCAATCCACACAAACATCCCCTTCTTTAGACGGCTACGTTATAATAAAACTACGCAGTAAGCTCAACATACATACCTGAAATCTGGCAGTATGTGTGTCATGGATAACATATAACATATACCACACAAATATAAAATGATATGAGTAAGACAGAAATACCCCACACTGTTATAATGAGAAAGTACCGATACTAATATACCAATACCAATACTATTAAACGAAGATGGACGACATTAAAGTGGGAGAAATAAGAGAGAGGGATTAATGTCGTGCCTCCTACTCGGAATATCGGAGCAACTGAAATGGAGAACGGAGAACATGATGAGACAGTTGTATCTGAAGAATCACCGGTGCAAGACGTACCGACTTCACTATTACCATTACATTGTACATTGTTCATAAACCAAGTGTAAGTGTAAGTCGCTTACTACTTCTTGTTTTGTTCCTGTTCTGGATGTGTGCGCGCGCAATCGGCACACCACAATCGGGGAGTTCCTGATGTAAGTCCTATACTATCCAGTTTACGGTATATACCGAAACCAGAAGTGTCTGCTAAAGGGTAACAAACAAAACGGAGCTACTCGTGGTTACTCTAATAAACTACCCACTTAATCTAATAACACACACCGTAAAAGTGATTTTTTATCTGATGATGATATGTGATGCAATGTTTTTAAGTTCCTGTCTTACGTGTGCGTAAATTGTTATCAGGAATCACTTTAAAAGTCCAACTGGAATAGAACATGTGTTGATTGTCACGTAGGTGTTGATATCTGCTCACCGGCGTAGTAGCACTGACGTCATTATCAACATTTCCATAGTTTTGACGTGTCACGTTTATAACTGTCGTGTTTTCAATGTTTGTTGGTGTAGTTTTTGATTATCTGATTTAAGCTAATGTTCTAATGATTCGCGTGTGATTGAAATTGGCTATAGGTGATTTTAGAAGAAAAATAGGAGTGGGTTTTGTTTTTATGAAATTTGGTTGTTCTATTACTGAAAAGCATACTCTATAGAGAATAAAGTAATACCGGTGAATTTTCACACGTTATGCGCTATGTTTACGATAATACAGTTGGAGATCACTAAGGGATTTCGTTGGATATACAAGCATTTGGATTTCAAAGCACGTTTTGAGAATCTTAAAGTGGATTTAGGTGGCAAAGTGTAAAATTTACTTTAACACTTTTTTGTTTTTTGTTTTTTTTTTTTTTTTTTTTAATCGTTTTTTACTTTTGGTGTTTTAATTTAAAAGTGTTTAGCTTTTGTAAATTGTTCAGTGAATTTTTTTTTTCAACGTCACGTGCATGATTTCAGGCAATACCCTTTACTTTATTAGGTTTGGCGTTGAGAGAATAGTTAAGCGGTATGAAGTTTTGCTTCTAAAGAGAAACAATGTAAATTGTAAATGGTTTTAAGCACAAAGAGGAAAATAACGTTAAAGTGAATAATTACTGTTAATCATTAGAGAGAAGTAATAACGTGAGAATTCAAGGTGGATAAAGATTTATTGTTGAATTTTTATAATAAATGAAACTTTAGTTTCAGGCAATAAATATTTTTATTGTTATTGTTGCTGTTTTTTGTGTAATTAAACTTTAAAGTTTTATTATTGGAAATTATTGGAGAATTTTAAAGTTTTTAAAATTGAAGGAAATATTTAAACTGTTTTGGGTTTGTTGAAGAAGAAATAGTTTATTTGGATGCATTAGAATACAACGTTTTAATATTTAACGGATCAGATCGATTGGCGATAAATCGATAAGTATACGGTGAATAAAACTCACATGTAACTGATGACCCCTGTCGATTTATTTATAAAAAGTGGAGAATTTAAGTGTATTAAAAAATAACAAAGCACACTGCATTGTATATTGTTGTATATTGTATATTATATATGTTATATATTGTATATTGTATATGCATATGTGTACATACGTTATTTACGTGGGTTTAATAAAATTGGTAAATCACGCGCGTGCGCTACCAAAAGATAATTCCTGTGAAACGGAAGGAAACCGTAACAAGAGGATTAAAGAAGCGTGAAACATTTCTGATAAGAGCTACGGCATTTTGTTGTTAGATAATATTACAGATTATTGTATTATTGTTATATACATACATTTATATTTATAACACATATATATGTTTCATATATTTTTGGATTTATTGTTCAAGCACGAACGCGATATGATTCTAGCAGGTTAGTTTGAGATTTATTTATTTACTTTGTCAGTTTTTTTTTGTAGTGATGTAGTTTATTGTTATACGGATAAAAGTAAACTAAAATTCACTCAGATTCCGGTTAATTTTTAGAGTTTCAAATAATACAGCGGACATCGGGCTTGCACAAATGTAAATATTATAAAACTTAATGTAGAAAGTATGAAAGCCACAATTTATAATTTAATATCGAAAATGTGATTAGTAGCTGTCACTATAGTAAATAACGACTCTCTCATCGTAAAAAATTACAGCTTCAAACAGTAAAAATTCTCGTTTCAATATATAGTCCATACTACGTACGAGAAGAAGGGGAAGATTTCACACTCGGAGAATTTAACATTTGAAACAGTAAAAATTCTACTTTTAAAATATATATTGTTTGAAATAGTATTTTCTTCTATGTAAATAATAAATTGTAGCACTTAAATGATAAATATTATAAAGTGATTGTTAAAATCACGATTTTACTGTTTGAAATAGTAATTTTTACTAGTTGATCATTACTTATTATAAATCGACTATTATTTATTACAGGTTACTTTTTTCCGTGTATTGATAGTAGGGCTTGTTGTTAATTGGGTTTCAGGGTCTCGTGTGGTCATGTATTTTGAAGGTATTACAGCTGCGGATGTAAAAAAATTAATGGTCTTCGGTTAAGTGAATGGGTCGCTAAATTTTCTACGTCGGTGGAAAAATTACTTGCTAATTGTTCAATATTTGACATTTTAAATAATGAGGCGCAATTATTTTAATTGGAACCTAGTTTTTTTTTTTTTGGAAATTGTAGAAAGTGTTAGTGGAAAAAATAATTGTTTTTAGGATTAATTAACGAACTTTTTGTAATTGTTTTGCAATGTGGTCCAAGTTGAAAAATTTTTTATCCTTAAAAAAATTAACATAAACTTTATCTTTTTATAAATGAAATTTGATAATTATTAATCGATTAAAAGTATCTGGTAACACGCCGTTAAATGACACTGAGCGTTGAGTCTGGACGTTTTAAAAAAACCTCCCTTGTACAAATGCGATTACCATTATGAGTCACCGAGTAAAGAAAGAAAAAAAAAAGAAAGAGAAAATAAGAATCGTCAAAGTGTCTAGACATTAACTTGGGGAATAAAATTAGTCATTAGTTGCGATTATTTTTATTCTTAGCCGTGACATGATTAACTCTCGTATCTCATCGGAACTAAAATAAATCGCCATGCATCTATAAATACTTATTACACTTACACATTTTATCCCCCAAGGAAAAATATGTAACACTAAAAATCATCAAATCAACAATTTAGTACGCAAAAATTGTTATACATTAAAAATTTTATAAATCCCGAAGCAATAATAGAATAAAACATATTCTTATCAAATGAATTGGAGCGATATGTGAATAACACGTCAGCAATTTATGCTGATAAAATAAATTCCAAGCTGAGACTGGTCATCCAGGAAGCATTCAGTATTTGATTAGACAGCCAGTAACGAAAGCGAAAAAAAGTATTTTTATAATTTCCACCTTCTATCGCTCGCGAGTGAGTTTAACACGTGCACCAGTGGTCACCTGGTCTGCCTTTTCATATCGATCGCCGAGGGTACGACTCGCAGCTATTTTCCATCGAGCAAACTGAGGACCGAGTATATTCGAAAGCTCTGCTCTGGAAGTTCCTATTGAGCACGTACTAAACCGTGGAGCGACGAGCTCTAGAGCTGTAGATGATGAGGAGCCAGCCCATCAGATCGCGACATTTTTTTTTATTACTTTTTCCCTCATACATTTTTTCCTTCACTTTGTCGTCGACGTCAACTTGATGTCCTACTTGTCATTTTCGGTGTTTAGTGTCAGGAGCGGTTATCTATTATGCTCTATAACACATACTTATACCTACACTGACCAGTT